CTTTACGGGAGTAGAAAGCCTCATCTTTCTCCCGCGGAGCGGCTGGTAGTTTCGAACCGCTGACCTTAAGGTTTGCAGCCCGATTCGTAACCACTTCTTTATTTCATTTATCATAGCATCATTACTGCTAAACTTGATTATCATTTCACCAATGGACTAGAAGCTCTATTAAAGCAGAAACAATAATACTATGTCAATCAGTGTCTATTTAGCCCCTAAGATTACTTCTATTTTTTTATTAAATAATTATTTATGATGGATCTACTGGGATCAGTAGATCCATCATAAATAATTATTTAATAATTAAATAGAAGTAATAAACAAATGACTATGTTATAATAAACTTGAATTTTCATTAAAAATCTATATTAAACATACTGTATTTATTACATAAAACAGACTTGAACAATAATTTCAAGTTTTCTATATTGAATTTTGGAGTCCTGGTGTGGCGCTGTGTCAGATTGCAAAGTTGTTTGAACTGCAAGGTTAGTGGTTCAAGCTCACCAGTTGCTCCTTGGAAACCCCCTATACAGGGTCACTATGGGTAGGAAGGGACTCGATTGCACTTCACAACAACATATTGAATTTAGCTCAACTGTTTACTGCTTAAACCATATAATATAATAGTAAACATTAATTTAAACTTTATTATTCCAAAAGTATCAGTTCTGTTATGAATTGAACTGTGTCCCCCAAAGTATGTATTATAAATTCTAGCCTCTATACCTCTGGTTATAATCCTATTTGGGATTGAGTTGTCTTTGTTATATTAATGAGGCACCGCTATTGTAGGATGTATCTTGAGTCAGTCTCTTTTGAAATACAAAGGATCACCCACAAGCAGAAGCTCAAAAGAGACAAAGATCTTCCTCCAGAAAAGACACCATGAATTTGGAATTATAACTTCCTAAATTATGAGAAGATAAACTTCTGTTTGTTAAAGTTATCCATTTGTAGTAGTTCTGTAATAGCAGCGCTAAGCTTTATAAAACTTAAGTTTACTTTTATTGTGATAATAGATACAAAATAAACTTTACCATGATATCGCTTCAATTTGCTTTGTTCAACTAGCCTGTCAACTTTTTTTATTAGTTCTTCTCTGATTCTTTCCAGATATCTTCTTTCTTCCTTCACTTGTTTCATTTGTTCAATAATCTTCTCTCCTAAAAAGATTATAACCCCAAACATCAATGTATGGAAATTATAGTTGGTTAGTCTTCCAAAGGAGCTCTGGTAGCGTAGTGGTTACAAATTGGGCTACGAACCTCAAGGTCAGCAGTTTGAAACTACCAGCGGTTTCCAGGAGAAAGATGAGGTGTTCTGCTCCCGTAAAGATTTACAGCCTCGGAAACCCTGTACAGGGTCGCTATGGGTTGGAACCAACTCCACAGCACATAACAACAACAACAGTCTTCCAAAACATGAACTATAAAAATTTAAAGGAAAGGGCTTAAAATAGCAAGAATAATTTTCACCCAAGGATTTCTTAAAGCAGTAAAGCATTTACCAATACGAAAATGTTGAGGAATGATTTATGTTTCTAAGAGGGCATTATTGGATAAGTACTGGACTTCAAACCATGCTAATTGCAAGGTCAACAGTTCAAGTCTACCACTTGCTCTCAGAAACTCTTTATGGGGTAACTATGAATTGGAATGGACTTGATGACACAACAACAAAACGAGAGTATCATGGGTTGGATTGTGTTCCCTCCAAATAGGTATCAACTAGGATGGGCCATGATTCTTGGTAGGCAGTTATCTTATAATTTGGCAGTTATGCAATGACATAATCATCCCCCATGATGTAATATTGATTTGATCAAACAAACTGTTGTAAGGGGATTAGAGTAGGATGCAGCACCCCAGTCACAGCCCTAGGGTGTGTGTGGCCTGTATTACTTTTAATTTTCACATGAGATAGGAGGAGAGAGAAGCAAGCAGACAATGAGGGACCTTAGTACTACTAAGAAAAAAAAAACTAGGATTGGAATGTTTCCTCAGAATCCTTGTGCTGAGAACCTCTTAGAAGCAGGGAAAGACTGATGTCAAGACACATGGAGATCTCCAGAGGATGCCCAGCCCACAGATGTTTGCATCGTCCATTAGCCCACTGAATTAATTGTTTGAGGCTAGAAGAGTTTTAATATGCCGAAGAGTAAAATTTACATTGTTTTAAAGAAGCTGTTGGCAGAATTATGGATTCCAAAGGCAATTCTAGTGAGGGCTCAGAGGAAGTGCAAAGAGCTGTAACTTTAGAGATTGAGTAGATGGTGAGAAGCACTGGCAGAGAAATAGTACAGCAGAAATAAGAGACTGGCATAAGATGGCATGTGAGAAAGCTAAGTGCTGTCAGGAAAGAGGCTTGCTGGTGGAATGGCATTCCTTGAGGGTACTTATTGACAGAGCTAGGTTTTCAAATCCAAAGAGTGAGAAAGCTGAACACCATTCAATCAAGGCTTTCTGGCAGAGTGCGGTGCCTGGGCACTTACTGGCAGAGCTAAGGAGCTTTGTAACTTGTCTGGGCCAATCCAGGAGATCTGAAGGATTGAGTATCTGAGAGGGTAAGGACTACAAATCAGAAGCTAAACAGACAAGGATCATGGGAAGCAGAGTTGCCTTGGTCTCCAAGGGTAAGGCCACAACCTTTGAGGTCTCAATGGGTGAGGATAAAATCTGCTGGATCTCAAGGGTGGCGGTATGGCCTCTGAGGTTATAAGATTAAAAATGGTTCTAGAATGTGGAACTGCCATTCATGAATGCCAGGAAGATGAGTTGGGAGCTGTTTCCCAAGACTGAGGAGGAATGGCTGCTATGCCCAAGAAGTAGAAGAAAGAGGCCTGCTAGGGTTAAATGGGTGAGTTACCATTCAGTTGAATTAGGAGAATGGGACCTGACAAGGTTAAAGGGTTGAAAATCAAAGATGTAAGCTGGAGAACTAAGGTGCGCCTGACCCAAACCATGGTATTTTCAATAACCTCATATGCATGTGAAAGTTGGACAGTGAATAAGGAAGACCGGAGAAGAATTGATGCTTCTGAGTTATGGTGTTGGAGGAGAATATTGAAAGTGCCATGGACTGCCCATAGAACCAATGGATCTGTGTTAGAATAAGTGCAGCCACAGTGCTCCTTGGAGGCCAAGATGGCCAAACTTCATCTCTCATACTTCAGACATATTATGAGGAGGGACCAGTCACTGGAGAAGGATATCATGTTTTGTGGAGAAAAGAGGAAGACCCCCAACGAGATGGATTGGTCAAGTGGCAGCATCAGTGGGCTCAAGCAAGGCAACAATTGTGAGGTTGGCCCAGGATCGGGCAGTGTTTCGTTATGAGTTGGCACTGACTCAATGGCACCTAACAACAACAACAACAGGGTTAAAGGGATGGGTTCACCACTCAATTGGATTAGAGAATTGGTTGCTCAAAGCAGAAGGAGCAGAGTTGCTATCCTAGTGCGCTTCAAAGGTGGAGCTGAAGCCCAGGGTTGAGGGGCCAGAATCCAGAGAGCATGGAAAACACCCAGAGTCTGGATGGCAGAACCACTGCCTAGATGGCCTCAGAGAACAGAAGATTATTGTAAGCCTTGAGTGCTAATGTAAATTGTTTTACTGGTGTTTGACTTAATTGGTTTTAGTTATCCCTTCTTTTGCTCCAATTTCTTATATTTGTAATAGAAACGTCTCTTTTATTCCTGCTGTACCATTGTACTTTAAAAGTAGGTAACTTGAATTCTAGATGCACAGATGAAAAGAAATTTTGTCCCAGGATGGAATTTGAACTTAAAGAGTTGATTTAAGAATTTTGGGATGATATAATAAGGTGTGGTGAATGACTTAACAAACCAGAGATAAGGTGTGGAGTCCTGGTGTGGCGCTGTGGATTAATGCACCCTATACAGGGTTGCTATGGGTCAGAATCGACTCGACGACACTTAACAACAACAACATGATAAGGTGTTGTGCATATGGCAAAGGCATGGACTTTGTGTGTGTTTGGGAGTGTGGGGTGGGCAAAGGCAGGCAGGTCATGGATTTGAATTGTGTCCCTGCAAAATAAGTGTCAACCATAATCCTCAGTGGTTTGGAAGTAATGTAATTATAAAATTCATCAGTTATATGATAATATAATAATCTCCCATAATGTGATCTGATGTGATCATCCAATCAACATTAAGAGGTTAGGATGGGTCATGGCCCTGATCTAATGTATGGGGAATTTCTCTGGAGAAATTCTGCATCACCTTTTTTCTTACCAGTGATAAAAGGAGAGAGACGCACCACTTTCTTAGTACCACCAAGAAAGAACAGCCAAGAGTGGAGTGCATTTTTGGACCCAGGGTCACTGACCTGAGAACCTTATAGACCCAGAAGAAGACTGATACCAAGACACATGGAGATCTCCAAGGAATTCTAAGCCCACAGAGGTCAAAAGGAGAAAAGAACCTTCCTCCAGAGCCTACAGGGAGAGTAAGCCTTCACTCACAGCTGACACACCCAATTTGGACTTCTAGTCTTTTAAACTGTGAGATAATAACTTTCTGTTTGTTAAAGTCATTCACTTGTGGTATTTCTGTTATAGCAGCACTAGATAACTAAGTTTCGGGATAACATCAAGAAAACATTCAGGAAGAAAGCAAAAGGTCATTAAGATAACAGGAAAGAAATAAAAGACCAATATGGTATCAGAAAAGATTCTAAAACTTTCTCTCCAGTGTAGAGATGCTAAAGTGCATGAAAGAAATGAGGATGAACGATGTTGAACAGAAAATTTCAAAAAGCAGCTCAAGTAGACAAAGTCAAGTATTATAATGAAATGAGTAAAGAAATGGAAATAGAAAACCAAAAGGGATGCTCAGAATTTCTCAAGCTGAAAGAACTGAAGAAAAATAATGTGCTGGACTGCAAAGTCAGTATGAACCATAAGATCGGTAGTTAAAGCTTACCAAGAGCTCCTAGGAAACATGATACAGGGTAGTTATGAGTTGGAACCAACTCAACTGCACTTAACAACAACGGCAAAATATTTAATGATACAGAAAGCATCAAAAGAAGATGGAAGGAATACACAGAGTCACTGTACCAAAAATAAATAGTCAGTGTTCAACCATTTCAGCAGGTAACATATGATCAAGAGCCAACAGTACTCTTAGAAAAAGTCCAAGGTACACTGAAGGCACTGGCAAAGAATAATGCTCTGGAAATTGATGGAATACAAATAGAAATCTTTCAACAAACTGATACAGCACTGGAAATACTCAACTATGTCAAGAAATTGGGAGCAAGCCACTTGGTCAACTGATTGGAAGAGATCCATATTTGTGCCCATTTCAAAGTGACCCAACAACAATGAGATATAATCTCACATCAGCAATAACAGCAAAGATAAAAAAGTAGAGGACAATAAATGCTGGTGAGGATGTGGAGAGACTGGGATGCTACTGCATCGCTGGTGTGATTGCAAAATGGTCCAACTTCTCTAGAAAGCCATATGGTGCTTCCTCAGAAGGTTGGAAATAGAAATACCTTATGATCCACCAATTCCTCTACTTGGTATTTACCTACAAGAAATACGAGCCACAACATGAGTAGATATATGTACACCAATGTTCACAGAAGCACTATTTACAATAGCAAAAAGATGGAGACAGCCAAAGTGCCCATCAATTGAAGAATGGATAAACAAACTGTGGTACATACACACAATAGAATATTATGCTACCTTGTAGAATAACAGGGAAGCTGCAAGCCATCGCACAACATGGATGAACCTTGAGGACATTATGTTGGGTGAAATTAGTCAATAACAAAAGGAGAAGTACTGCATAGGACCACTACTGTAAAAGATTAAGAAAAAAAAACCCATACTAAAGGGTGGGGGTAGATTGTTTGCTGGTTACTGGGATGTGAGGGTGCAGTGAGGGGAGGGAGAAGAAGGTGGAGCACAGGGTAGGGAATAGACACAGGATAGTTTGGGTGCTAGGGAGGGGGACAATACACAAGAAGTGGGAGGGGAATGGAAGAACATAATGGATGGGAAAACACTTAGGCAGGTTTGCATGGGCTAAGTGGGACAGAGATAAATGATGATGTATGCACAACTTTGGAACAACAGGGCTCTGGGATATAGGATTTGAGACATGGTTGGAATGGGGAAAAGAGGGGAAATAATGTTAAGATGCTTGACTGTCTTTTGAATCTTGGTTTCCTTGGCATACCATTATAAAATAGAC